ATGGATGGCCGGTGACTTCTCTCCTAAATTTTCTGAAATGCAGTTAGATTTTTTTTTGTTTCTGCATCACAAAATTGTTGCTTTTAACCATCGACGATATCCCGTGTCCTGTCTTTTGGACTTAGACAGGGTCAAGTTGGGCTGACTTCCCCACCTGCCCTGGGAGGCCCCTCCCCTCCCTCCACCCTCTGCCCTCTCCCCAAACGCCACGGCCAGCCCAGCTGCAGAGGGGGAGGCAGCAGGATGGACAGACGGTTCCTCAGGCCCCTGTGTGACTGACGGGCTCTGGGCAGTGAGTGTGTCTCCCCTTCCATGTGGTCCACCCTGTGACCCACCCGTCCCTCAGGAACCAGCTGCTCCCGGACCCCTGAGGGAGAAACAGAGAAAGATTCTCTAATTCTACTGGGCTCCCCTGATCTTTCCTCCTAGGCCTGACTTTTTCAGACTCCTGTGTTTGTCTGTGTTGCCCGATTTTAAGGAGAGCCCTGCTCAGCTGGTTTAGCCAGAAACTCCCACTGGCTCCTCGTCCTTCACTGTCCTGCGCTGCCCACCCCGCCCCGCATGATGTCTGACCCACCACTGACCTGCCTTCAGCAAGGGTCCTGTTAGGTCGGCATAGGCAGAAGCCCCCTCACCCTGACGTCTGCCCTGAGTGATCGTGGCGCCCTCTGCCCGCCGCCCGCCCCGCCGGCTCCTCGGTGGCAAATCCCCGTGGCCCACGCCGCGTTCTCCTTTGCGTTCTGCGTGGAGGCGTCTTTTCCCCTGTTGCAATAGCCCTCGATGAAATCGGTTTCTATGCTTGAACTGCTGTCCAGCTCTGGTTTGTCTTTGAGAGGAGTCAGTGTGGGCGGACACTGGCTGCTCTCACCTCAAGTTCACGGTCTCGGTGACCGCGGGCCGCCCCCCCTCCGTCCGTCTCGGTGACCGCGGGCCGTCCCCCCTCCGTCCTACGCCTTGCCTTTTCCCTACCTCATTCCTCCTCTTCTCATTCTCCCTCTCACCTCAGACCCCACGGCTCCCCGCGCCGACGGCTCCTCAGGTCATAAATGACCTTGACTCACCCTACACTTCACGGAGAAGCCAGTCGCCCTCATCTTCCCTCTTCCTGTCCCCCCCAACCTGCCCCCATAGCTCCCCAGGCAAGTCCCCTAAGACCTCCTGGAAATGCTTCCCCAGGCAGCTTCCAGTTTTTGTCCTACCGCCTGACCCCCTGACCCCTTGCTGGCTCCTCCCTTTACCCCTGACCTCAGGGTCAAGTGCTCCAGGGACACGGCCTGGCCCCTCTCCTCTTCCCACACTCTCTGCCCAGTGATCTCATCTCAGATTTAAGTCCCAGCTCCGACAGCATCGTCCCGCGTTTCACGTGGACAAAGCGGAACTGTCGATTGTC